CCCAGGGAGCCTCAGCAGGTCCGAGAGACACCAGGGCTGGACGTCACTTTCCCCAAAGACCCCAGACTTGCGGTGCAACCTGGCCTTGTCCCTGCCTCCTGCCCCAACATCCTGCTCAGCTCAGCTTTGCTGAACGCCCCAGGGAGGTCACAGCCCCTGTGGAGCCACTGCTAGTGTCTGCCCTGCTGCCCCACCCCATGCAGCTGCGTGGAGGGGACAGCCCCTGCCGTGGAGGAAGGTGGGCTTCCTGTACCTCCCCTCCCCAGGATCAGCGCAAGACGCCGTCTGAGAACTGGGCTGGAGCCCCTGCTAGGCCACCAGCAGGCTGTGACCTGAGGTGTGTCATCCTTCCAGCCTCAGGTCCCCTTCTGTGAAGTGGGGCGGGTTGGTAATCCAAGCCCTCCTGGGTCCCAGAGCCCTCCTGGGGGGTGAGTTCCGGCTCTGTGGAGGGTGTGGTGTGCCTGGCGGTGGGCTGGGGAGGTCACTGCTGGAGCCCAGGTTGAAAGGGACAGGGGGAGCCCGGGCACAGTGCCCCCACTCCCCAGCGGGACAGGAAGCTGCTTGAATCCCACCCGGAGGCAGATGACCTCCCCCCCGGCTGCCGGCATCAGGGTCCTGGTGGCCGCCAGGGCCTGCACTTTTTACTTGCACAGGGGCTTGGGATCTCGGGGTCTACAGCTTGTCCCCCTCCCCCAATCTGGATCTTGGCCCACAGATCCCAGAAAGGTGGGCTATGAGGCCACCTCATCCTACTCCACGCTGTGGATGGGGAAACCGAGGCCAGGGACACGACTGCAGCTCCGAGGGGCAGAGACGGTGCCCACCCTGGCAGCCCATCGTCCACACAGAAGGACCGGCCCCAGGGACTGATCGCAGCTGTGGGGAGGGCACCGGGGAGCCTCAGGCCTTGTCTGCAGGCCACACCCTTGCCCCAACCCCAGAACCTGCATCCCTGCGCCTGGGCATGACCCTTCCGGGGGCCTCTCCCAGACCGCGGGGAGTCAGCGCTGTGGCGGGGAATCCAGAACACACCCCCACCGCCTGGCAAAGCCCCCTGCCCTGGGGAATGTCCAGGGCCCAGTGGAGCCCAGACCCAAGGGGCACTGGCCCCTCACAGCCCTGGGAGTCTCCACCACCTCTGTCTTGTCCCTTCCTGCCCGCGAAGCTGCCTGAGCTGGGAATGGGGCGGGGGGCAGGGGGGCATGACTCCACCCACCCCCCAGCAGGGCTGGCCCCTTGGGCAGGGCCTGGGTGGTCTTGTCACCCCGGTTCCCAGGGCCTGGGGTGGCACCTGACCAGGAGCCTGGCTCAGCCAGTGCCTGAGGCGTGGAGGAAAGCAGAGCGCTCCTGGCCCGGGCTGGGTCTCGCCTGGGGACTGGAGCCGACAGGTGCAGAGGCGTCTGCACAGGTGAGGGCGCGGCTCTCATCCTGGGATACAAGTGCAGGAGTGAACAGCGCGCAGCCTCCTGGGGGCTGGTCTTCCCTGTGGGCGCCTCGCGTGGTGCCGGCGCAGCTAGAGCAGTCTGAGCCCAGGGACTGCGAAGGCCACAGCGCAAAGCCTGCGCGACCCCCTGGGTGGCTCTGGGGGCAGGACTCCCCCGGGACTCTCTCAAAGCCCCAGCGCTGGGCCGCTCCTTTGAAGATGCACAGGGGTCTTCGTGGGGCGGGGGTGTGTGGACGCAGAGGCCAGCGGGGCCCTGGCGCGGCAGAGCGTGAGCACCGCACGGCGACAGTGATTTCGGTACTCCGCCTTGCTCCTGGCTGGGCCGGACCCGCGCGGCTCCTCAGGCCGGGGGGTGGACAGCCCAAGACCGGTCCTCAGGGGACAGGAGGATGGATTTGCAAAAGGAACCCAGCAACTTCTGGGATGGAGGAAGGTGGAGCCCTCGCACACCTGGATTCCAAGTTAGGGAGACGTCTAGGTAGACGAAGGCGGGTCCAGCCACGCCCAGTGGCCGGCAGAGGAGGACGCCAAAACCTCCGTCTAAAATCACCACGGGGGAGGTGCGTCCAGTGGACGACCCCAACCCACCCAGGACACAACTTCAGGCCCCGCCCCTCTGGCCGGAGCATGGCTGCGTGGCCAGCTGCAGGGGTCTGGGCGGCCGAGCCCAACAGTGCCACCCTGTGGCC